CACCTTCTCAAACATATTCTTATCAAAGTAGCCTCTGTGGTATTAATCTCTGCCACATAATAATGGCTCTACCCTTGGTGTCCGTTGTCAGATATCTTACATGTGGTCTCCATGTGCTTCTTACACTTCCTATCTAACCTTTTCCATAGCTCCTAGTAAAGTGGCTTCACCCTTCCCTATTTTATAATCAAAGGCCATCAGTGACTTGCTTCTTGTCACATTCGTGGCAGAATTTGCCAGCATCTCAAATTCATCAAAGAGAAAAAGTAACATTTATGTATCCCACTCAACTCCCTCCTCAACTACCAATTTCTATCAGAATTCCTTACAGAATTCTTGGAAATCTAAACATTGCCTTTGCCATCTCCATTTCCTGAATCTCCCATCACAAGGTCCCTCTCTTAATTCCTCTGAAATCTTTTACATTCACCATTTGCATCCCCACTGTCCCATTCCAGTACTTCATTGATGATGGCATGCTGTCACTTGGAGGAACTGTCTGGCTTCCCGTCTATTCCATGCCCAGCTCCAGACACCTCTACTTCAGGCCCTGCCTCCCACATTCCCATCCCCCACCCGCAAAAATAATTCCAGCCATGCATGGCAGGAAGTCCAAGAAATTTCTGCTGAATCAGACCTTTGCCCGGGCCTTTTAAAAACATTTCCCTACCCCTGGTTTCCTGATTCCTGTCTGGTGGCCTCTCTGCATACTGGGCTTTGACCCTCTGGATCAAGAGCACCTGCCAGGGGCTCCCTGCCTTTCTTGTATTCTGTAGAATTAGCCATAAAGTCTGCAGTGGCCTATTTACACCTCTCAGAGCAGGTTTAAACAAGTTATTTACTATGCTATTTCACTATGCAATCTTTTATCTAGAGTTATTGCTTCCTTCCCCCAAGAAGCCACAGTGTGTTATACTAAAGTCCACTTTCAGTCTTCTGGCTCAGGAATCTTGAGTGGCTCCTTAATTGCTCATCAAATACGAATTCCTCTGAACAACTTCAGAAACTCACAATGCTTTTTCCTTATTTAATCTCATTACCCATGATATGGTGCCGCGTCCTCTTTCTACCCTACTGCGTGACAAGGTCCGGAGATGGGGACAGAGGCTTCAAGGAATGCATCGTCAAGAACGAGGACGTGGCATGTGTTTAGGGATAACTGGTTTCTTAGAAATGATCCTATTAATAGGGGGAATTTGGGTAGTAAGTGTAAACGCTATACAAATGGATTTCCTCAAAATTGGCTCTGAGGAAAACATAGTAAATTCCCCGCGTATGGAATCAGCTCTAGTCACCCTGACGTGTCCAGAATGCGTAAACCCTTTATTTGAACAATTATTAAGGGAAATTCCTTTTGACGCACCTCTTAAAGATATTATGAATAAATTATAACAAGCTGAATTACTAGAACCAGTTTATACTCCTGTTCCCACGCAGTTAGTAGAAAAATTAGTAAAGGATAAGAAATTTACTCATAAGCCTGTGCCTACTATAGAAGGGCCTCCTTTTGTGGCCTAGTGGATAAATAGAAAACTCTGGTATCCACCTAGGGGGGCTAATAGTATGAAAAGATTACCTGATCTTCCTTTGCCTTATACAGAAGCTTATAATAAAGATAGTATACATGTAGTGAATAAAGATAGAATTCATGTGCCTTATAGTAGTTTAAGTTTCATAGAAAGGCTGGCTAAGTCAGGATCTCCTTGGTGGTTAAAAACAAAGGAACAGAAACTTAGCTTATGAAAGCAGCTTTGTAAAACTGATTTTTATAAATATTTTCCTCATTACTGCACCAAGGAAACTTTTGAACAGCTATGAGAAAGGTTCAGCTTGAACTTTAGATATAGCATAAATCAAATAGCATTTAAAAGATTTCTTCAGGCAGAAAGAAGAACAATGTCTGCCCACAAGCCAATGCTTGCTGTTATGAATACATCTATCTATCACCTTTACTTAAATCAAACTGTATCTTATGTAATAGATATAAGAATTAAAGTTTAGATTGTTCCATCAGGTAGTTCTGTTCTAATGATTGAGAGAAAAATGTACTAGTTAATCATGAACATTAATAATAATATACTCTATAAGATTTTCTGCTTCGCCTAACCACAGAAATTTAACTCCCTGCTACCTTAACAACAAAGTATAATCAAATGCCAAAATAAAAAGTATAAAAGTTGTACTCAAATCACAATAAAACGGAACAGTGTCACACCGCCTCTGAGCTGTGTAGTCGACTGTCTCCCGCGCCGACGCCTTGCCCACCTTCGGGGCCCCCTGGATCCTGTCGTGGCTGGACTGCGGCAATATGGGAATAAGCAAACTTCATAAGGACAGAGGAACAGCAAAGACGGGGAGGAGCAAGCAGGACCAAAATAGACATAGATACAATGACAACAATTTAGTACTTTTCATTCTATGCAGAAAAACAAAACACTTTTAATGGGACTGTAACTCATTTAAACAATGTCAGCTCGTCCAGCTCTACTTTCAGACTTTTAAAAATCTACCATGAAGTTCAGGCTTAGCACATGCTACTGACATTTAAATAACAGTTCACCTTTATCTGATGAATTCTTATAACCAAGAGGAGTAATAATGGCAGCAGTAAGATAATACTCAAATGCATCGAGACTGGCACTGGTTAGGCAGTCGAAAGTGAACTTGTACTCTTTGTAAGACGGCCACTGCTAAAGCCGACATTTGTGTATTATTTTGTTATTAAAAACAATACAAAAAAAGCATTCCCCAAAGGATTTCCTGTATGTAGGCACATAAATGGTATTTTAAAAGGGTATAAGTAACCAAAAAAATTTAGATTGACGGCTAAGCCTAGGTGCAGGTTCACAGTAGTTAGAACCCTGCCATTTGGCTTAGACTTTTGCAAATATAACCACTTCTAAAATTATAAATAAGGCCTGATCAGCCATCACTGTTTCCCACCCTGGGCATTAAGTTACATCAGACCATTATTCCACTTTATAAGACAAAGTCACTACATTTATAGTTATATGAGTTGGAACAAAACCTTGCCATTGGCTTGCAAAGACTTCCCCAGGCAAACCTGTCCCGGTGGCCAGCAGCTATGGGAACCTACAGGGAGAGTCATGTTAGGTAGAGTCAGGATTTCAAAAAGGTAGAGCAAATGTTGCTTTTTTCCCTGACCCCTCTCCACATGGGTCAGGATGTAGGTAGGCCCAATGATGAAAGTATGAGACACAGCAACCGAGTACGTAGAACGAGTTTCTGGCCAAAGGACCAAAAAGAAGAGCCTAAGGATCCAGGAAGTACCGAGGTCATGGAGAGGGTGCAGTTCAGGAAGCAGCCTCACACTGTCTTACAAACCCCAAGGACCACTTGTCACTACCCATTACCCATGATATGGATCTGATCCTACCTAGCATACCGGCAGAATATTTCCATGCCACCACAGGGCACAGTCACACACTCGCCCACACTCACTCCTACAGGGAAAGTGCAGACATGCCAGGTAACCTCATGTGCTCTTCTTAGGGTTGTGGGAGGAAACTGGAGGACCTGGGGAAAACCCAAGCAGACATGGAGAGAACGTGCCAGTCCAGACAGTGGCCCCCAGCGGGGATCGAGGTTTTTTCATCAACATTGTAAGAAAATGACATTCAAGGACCTACTGTACATACAAGTTAAGTTGCTTGATATTGCCCACGTGGTGTGGTAGCGGATGCTGAGCTCATTCCCCCACCCCATAATGGGTAAGGGACTTTTCAGTGTCACAGCTGACGTGGCACAGACCACCTGTCCTAGTCAGTCACTCCCCTTACGCCCCGCCAACCAATCAAAATACACTTATGTGAATAAAAGAAAAAGCCCTGCTGCGATGGGGGCTCAGCCTTTGGATGTGAATCTGCTGAATGGAGCCAGTACCAATAAACGCTACTTCCTGCTTATTGCCTCGGTGTCCCGTCTCTCTGTCTGAGTATCCTGCGACAAAGGCACTGAGGCTCTGTGCTTTTTTCTTCCCTCCAATCTTTTATTCCTCAAGATAATTTCTATTCATCTGACATCTGCGCTCTGCTTGCTGTTAAGTCCAACCATCTGGGTTTTTTGGTTGGTCGATTTCCATTTCTCTGCTAAGAGCATTCACCTATATTCACTAATTCATTCATTCCAATCGCCTATCCTTTTCGTCTTTGCTTATAGTTCTATGGTGCTTTAAAATCCTGTTAATTCCAATACCTGTGTTATGTTTGGGTCTCCTCCTATTGTGTGCTTTTTTAAAACATGGGTTTCTGTTTCTTTGCATGCTTTATAATATTGTAGTCATTGTTATGTTATGCTGACAGTGTTAAACCTTGTTTTAGCAGGCAGTTATCGGCTGATCATCTTGGTTTTATGGAGGCTTGCTTTTACATTATGTTAAAAGTTTTGTCCTTAGTTTTAGCACAGATCCTTAGTTCTGGGCATAATCTTTACTACTAATTCATGGCCATTCTAGGGATTTGATGGAAAGCCTAAGGTGCTTATCAAGCCTTTTAACTTGTCAAATTCAAACTTAAACTGTCTCCTTGCAATAGAGAGCAACGATCTCTGCTTAGCTTTCCCAGCCTTTTGGCCATGGCTTTCCATTTGGTTCATTGGAGTCTTCCCTGCATGTACACAGCTCAGAAGTTAGCTAAAGATTTAAGAGGAAATATGCAGATTGGAGGGCTCTCCCCTCAGTGTCACCCTCATTTCCAGGATTCCATCCTTCTATTTACAGCTCCTCTAGCAGCCCCTAATTCCTCTAACCCCTCGAGCCAGTAAGGCTGCAATTTTCTCTAGAGTGCTAGGTACCCTTCACCAGACAGACTGGGAAGGCTGTGAAGGAGAGAGCTGTGTGAGAATAGCTCTCGGCCTGCTTTCAGTCACTCCCTAGTGCCTTTACACAGTTATTATATTTTGTCCAAAGTTTATAATTGGGAGGGTTTGAACATTACAAGCTATTCCACCATTACCAAAACCAGAAGTCCTTCATTTTATAATTTTTAAATGTTTGGTTTAATGCCTCAGAAGAAAATAACACAGAACTGGTACTTAAATGTCCTTAGCTCCCTCCCTTTGTTTTGGTCCAATAGATTGAAAATGGAATATTTCATATATATTAAAATACCTTTTAACGCGAATGAAATCAGTCAAAATTATCGCCTGCTAATTGAGGCTCCCAGAAAGTAGAGAAGTTTTTTTTCAAATTACAACAAATTTACTGAGCAAAGAGGTCAGACAATTTGATTAGGCCCAAGAAATATTCAGACCAATTCAACTACTAGGTAACAAAGCTATTTGTTATGAAAAGAATAAAACTCTATGGTAATGAACTATAATAAATGGAGTGTTATTTGCAACTAGTAGGAAGAATGTGAGTACTTTTCATCTACATAGTAGCATATTAACTGAGTTAAGTGACATGATGAATCTTGACTAATTCATTGTTGTTTTCAAACTTAAATTTTTTAAACTTTATTTTGTAGTCAGCAAGTTTTCCATTTGTCAGCTTGGATGTGAAAGTTGCTATTTAAATCCAAAGAGTAACTGTACATGGCTGGCTGAACATTTATAATTCAACAATTATATAGCCTCCAAAATACAGCGGAATGTGAGCTACATAATTAGGATGTCAGCTGAATAAGACAAGGCAATTGGGGATGATGTCATTTTGTGGCATGGGCTCGGATGAGATTTAAGTAAGCAGGACTTCGTCTTCTCATCTCTGTTTATATGCACTAATACCAACCACTGTCAGGACAACTCACCTTGCAGTCAGGACAGCTGACTTTTGAAGAAAGAAGAAAATTCCACCTTGTATTGACTGCTCTCATAAAGAAAAACTGCTTTTAAATGGCTTTACATATGTCTATACGTTTTCCCGCTTGGTCTGCTCCATGTGTGTACATCCTGAAAAACTGCCAAAATAGCAGCAACAACTGATGATATCAGAAGGAAAAAACTCATTGCCACATGAAACCAACACTGTTGAATCGACATCTTTCTTCTTAGTCACTTGTTCTATACTTACTAGGTAAACCAAAAGATCTGTTCAATTTGTTATACAAATATATGTACTTGCATACGTGACGGAAATTAATATCCAAAATAGAAAATGTCTATGTTCAGAGTCCATCGATGCTTCGGGATTCTGAGCTAGCTTCTGGTATAGAAAACAGACTTAGCATCTCCATCTCCAGGGGATGCACACTGCCTCCCGTGATGACTAAGGAATGTAACGGCCCTCCCAAGTCCACAGTACACATCTGCTGCAAAGTGCCGGCTGCAATTTTCTGGTCCTCAGCTCCAACCCTGGCTAAGCCGACACAGAGTGTCTCCTCGGTGACCGCTATTTAATAAAAAAAAAAGAAAAAAAAAGATACCGCCATTCAGTTCAGCAAATGCATTAACCTATCCAATGTTAAAACTAACACTAGTACCAAAAGAACATTTAAAGAATCTGCAAAAATCTTAAATTTCCTTAGTCACTCATTATGGACCAATTATCTAATCTAAGGCTTTTCTAAATTATTTGTACTATGTGACATATAAAGTACTTTCCCTCTAAAATTTTACCCTTTTAGAATACAAAGGCTTCCCTTAAGTTATATTTTTAGGATTTAATAAATAATTACCTGTATCCATACTCTACAACTAACTGCACAGCATTTCTCTTAGATTCTGAGTGAACAATGTTTATTACATGCTTAGATTTTTAACAAGTTACTTGAGATATGTTCACATTGACCGAGATATATTAGAAAAAACATGGGATTATGAGATAAATACATAAGTTTGAGTTTCTGCTTGACCACCTAATCGGCTATGAGACAAAATTCATTTTTTAAATTTTTTTAAAAATGAAATACTATCTCTCTTAAATGGTGGTTATAGGGCTATATTAGCTATGAAAGTATTTAGTAAACTCAATAGACCTTAACAAATAATGGGCATTGTGATTACTTTTACTTTTAAGTTCAAAATAACCAACATTAGCGAACTTTAGTATGACATGTTGTGACAGCTGAAGGGCTGACCCTTTCGTGGTTTTATTGGTTAGCTGGGAAAGCTGCCTGATTGAACAATGATCAAAATGGGGCAAATGATTTACACGAGGACACGCAGGCATGTGAGGAACTCTGTACAACATGATGGATATAGAACACCCTTGCTGAGTGATTATTCTGTGGCTTTAACAAAGCCCACTAATGAGAATAAAATAAGCAATGGTCACTCAAGAATCTCTTTATATATCTTTTCTATCAAGAGATACGTGCTCAAAGGCAGTCAGCACCTTATAACAGATATAATGAGAGGTTCATTTCAGAACCTCGTGATACTTACCAACAATAAACATTATGTTATATACCATGCACCGTGTCTACATATTAGGAATACAAAGATAAAGTCTCTTGTCTTTATCCTGAAGAAAACTATCCCTGGTCTCCGTATTGAGAATGAGAAAAAGCAGAATAAATATATTTTTGCAGGACAAATCTCACTATAGAGTTCTATACATTATTAAAACATTTATATAGCAACATATTTACTTCGAATCTGATTTATAGTTAATTTGTGAAAAATACTCACTTTCTGGAAGGGTATTAATTTTACTAGAAAGAACTCCATTATTTTTCTTTCAGTACAACTTTCATCCTATGAGATTTAAGTTAAAGTTGGAAAAAAGAGAAAAAGTACAATGCATAAATACTGACTCGCTTCAGTGGAGGTGGTATATGTGTGTGTCAGATGTTCTATCACATATGCATCTCAAAGCAGCAGAGGGCAGAGTATGAGAGCCCTGGTAGGGTCCTGAGTACCTGGTTCTTCTCCTCGTGTTCTTTGATTCTGAACAATCTCCAGAAGTTGCTGGGCTGCTTGGTTTACACTCATATACCGAGGAGGTTCGTAGATCTTCCTTCCTCTGTAATTATAACACTAGATGTCATTGTTCTTAGTCATGAAATTACACTATATATTCTTAACGCAAGCATTCCATCAGGTATACTCAAGTACATCTACGTTCTGTCTGCAGCTTTCAAACGATACTCACGAAAGCACAGATACGGTGATCGTTTATCTCAAGTTTCTTAAGCTTTTTTCATTGTTCTACTTCAACTGCCTTCTGATCTCACTGAAATGTTGGCAGAAATAAAAGTCCAACAACTTAAATGTAAATGTCTAAATCAAAGTTATCTTTATTCAAAGTGATACCTTCGGCAAAAATAAAATAAGTGGCAATTTGTTCTATATCCCAGCTAATCAGGTTCTATAATGTTCATTTTACTGCACATGTTTAAACCAATGTTTTCACTTCCTCCAGTAAACTAAAGTGGTAAATATCTAAAGATCTTGGAGAGTAAGATATGTTTACATCTGTATGACTCAAAAGCCTACCACATTTGCTCAATGATCATAATAAAAATATAGCTTTTGCAGCTTATACAACAGTTTGTATAGATTATTCTACTGACTCTCAAAACAATTCTCTAAGTCAGCATTGTCCAATACAAATATAATCCAAGCCACAAACATATTTTAAAATTTTCTAGTAGCCACATTAACAAGTTTAAAAAGGGCAAAATTAATTTTATATATTTTATTTAACCTAATATATCCAAAATATTATATTTCAACCCTTACTCCTATAAAAATTATTAAAGACTGTTTTTGTACTAGGTCTTTGAAATCTAGTATGTATAATCTGGTATGTATTTTATGCTTATAGCACATCCTGATTCAAATGTTAAATTTTCATTGAAATACTTGATCTGTATTGAGATTTCATAAAATTCATGATTATAAAAGTAATTTACATATTGAAATTGTTCTAAATGTACTTAAAAGTTTTCCAATACCTAAGTTGAGTATTAGTTTTAAATTAATTAAAATTAAATTACAAATTCAGTTCCTCAGTAACATGAGCCATATTTCAAGTGCTCATCAGTCACATGTGGGTAGTAGCTATTGTATTGGACATTGGCTTTCTAAGCAAAAAAGGATTATTACTCTCATTAGTCATATGGGAAAAATAAGGCTCAGAGATGGAAGAACTTGCCCAAGAGCCTATAACCAGAGGTAGACTCAGGACTCAAACCCATGTCTTCTGACTCTCAATTCATTAATTCATTCTACAAATATCTACTGAGTGCCTATTAGGTGTCAACCATCGTTCTCAGCAATGAATCCATAAAATCTAATGCTATTTCCACTCCATTACACTGCTTATCATAAGATTAGAAGTATTTAATTTTTAAATGTTAATGAAAGCTGATTTTCAACAATCTTTAGAACTCATGTCATTCAAGTAGAATTTATTGAATTGTTCAAGGAATTAAAATAGATGTAAGCATTCTCAGAATAAGACTTACTTGATTAGATTTTCCAAAGACTGCTCCTTCACCTTGATATCTGCAAAAAAGGTAAAAAATAGTTTTTAATTTAATTAATTGTTTTCTCCAAAATCCTATGTGTAAACCTAAGTTTTGGGTGGGGAAACATTTTTTTCAAGTCTCCAAAATGCTCACTTGACAGTTTGTGACAGTCTTCCCTCACACTTGGATATAGCCACTTTTTAATGGAAATATGGAGAAGAATAGAAGCTTGTAGTTGTGTAAAGGTAATTAGTTAGAAAACAAACATGAGAATGGCTCTGAGACCATCCTAAAAGGATCTAATTTCCTCTTGGAAAAGAAGAAACAGGAAGGAGTTAGATAAATATTGGCATATACAGCACCTAACAGCTAATCAACATCTTGTTCATTTCTACTAGCTGGTAACTGCACAGATTCAAAGGAAAAGTTTTGTCATGTTCCCATCCTTCCCTATTTTTCAGACACTGGAAGTTTCAATGCATGTAACATAAACAGAAGAAAATTCTTACTACATTTTGAAAAGAGACGTTTGCTTCCTTTTGAATGGTAAGACATGTAATAATAACTTATGAATAAACACTTAGTACCAAACAGTCATACTTTTAACAGGGCTTTCCCAAGCACTGACGCCAGGTACCCCAGGGGCCAAGACACACAATCTGCTCTCGTAAAGCCTGACAGCCCAAGTGTCACTGATATTTGATTCTTTACACTTTAATCACCGATGCACAGCTGAAATATTTGGTAAAAGGTAAAGCTGAATCACTACATCCTCAGAGGAATTCAGTATACAACAGCAAGAGCAACAGCTGCTTCCTGTTTCACATGCTGAAAACAAATGGTTCAGCCAAAGTTTGTTTTTGCAAAAATAAATATAGTGCCACTGAGGGGTCTTTTGATAGACTTCTACAGCTTTCTTAAGTGATTATAAAAGTTTTTCTTATAAGGATACTCAAAAATGTTTCCCCACCCAAAGCTTAGGTTTACACATAAGATTTTGGATAAAATAATTAATTAAATTAAAATATAGCAGAAATTAATCCCACATATGTATTTCTATTGTTCTTGGAACAAGTGGTGAAAAGTATTTTTCTGGTTCGAAATATCATTATTTAATATTTCCACTTATCTGGACATATAGAGAAAAATGTATATCTGTTATTGAAAATGGCCTCCAACACAATTGCCATGTGGTATGAGTCAACTTAGATTCCTTTAAATGATATTTGTAAGATTTTAAAAAATTCAACATATTTATTAATTCACCTTGAGCTTCCGAAATGTGATAGTAAAGTCTGTAATTTAATATTTTTAAATTTTAATCTTTTTAAATGATATACTCTAAAAGCTGTATTTTAAAAAAGAGGACTGGTGGGAATTTTTTAGGTAAGTGCTATGTAATTAAACATAAGAGAATTAATCTCAAGCCAGGGCAGACTTAATATTTTTTCCTTCTCTTTGCACGGGCCATAATTATTCCTCTCTACTTCTACTTGCTAGAATGTAAGCTTCTCCTATTTATCTTAGAACCAGAACCTAGCGTAATGCAAAGTACCCAGTAGATACTCCATAAATGTCTACTGAATAAATTTGCTCATGTGGCTCTGCTACTACCCATCCACCAGCCCATCTTAAACTATCCACCCCTTAAGTAGCGTAAGTCCCAACTCATTCAAAAAGCCTTTGTTGACTTCTCCTCAAATGTTTGTCTTTGAAATATCTATACATTAATGCCATGTTTCATTAATGACTAATTACATCATATATATTAGTCTTCTCTTACCAAGTAAATTTTAAATTCTCTGTGGTTTCCTACCATAGAATATTCTCAGTAATCACTACACGGCTTGGCCCATAGCGGGCATTCAATAAATATATACTAATTTAAATGAGAATTCCAGATGACTAAATGATGAGATCTATGGATTGAGGATTTGGAATCATGGTATCTGATATTTCACACCTTGTTCCTGCTTTTGTTAATAGAGCAAGTGAGATATATTGTTTAACTTTGTTTGTCTTTTCCCAGGAAAGCCAAGAAAAGAGGCAGCTCTTAGAGAGTTCAAGAGCCAAAATTCTGGTTTGTCCTTCCTGCCTCTCCATACAATAGAATTTAATTGTTCTTTAAACTTCCATATACACAGAATGTTAGTTCCAACTATTTCAAAACCCCAAGGGCAGGATCCATGTCTAATACTTCCTTAGTGTTCCAAAAGAATCCAACTCCACATTGAGTATAAACACTCAATAAATACCTGTAAATTGATTTTCCAATTGCCTTTCCAAAGCTTCCCAAAGAAGAAATGCTACTTTTCTCCCCTTCCTCCATTTTCTTATGACTATATGGAGAAGTTATCAGGTAGCCTGCCTCTTAAAACTTCTCTCTCCCTGTTCTGTTTTAAAACTTCTCAGTTCCATTGTAAAACACACACACACACACACACACACACACACACACAGTGTCCAAGCTCCGATGAATCTCAATTTTTTTCATCTCTCAGTTGCATATACTTGAACTACAAAAAAGTTAAGGCTGGCCTCTTTTTACATGGAAAAACCCAAGGATAAAGTATAAAGCTAATTAATTAATTAATTAATAATGAAGTGCTAAGTTGCACTGACAAACTAAAATAAGAAAACATAGCATATCAGTTACTTGTGGGTGCAGGTATAAATAAAAAAAATATTAAAGAAACATTCGTGATCTGATCTAGATTTAAAATTAATTATGTGTCAATGTGAATAGAATAAAAAGGAATGTGTTCTGGCTGGAAATGAATAAACCAGCAAGAGTTAAAGATTTTCTGTGCCAAAGGGTAGTAAGACCATGTCTGAGAAAATAAACTAAAAAAAACTCCAACTAATTAACTTCTATAAATATTTATTGAACAGCTACATTGTGCCAGACCTCTAGACATTCGGAAGGAAGCAGTAGGCAAGACAAAGTCCCAGCAGGGAAGAAAACCAACAAGTTAATAAAATAATTCAGATAGGTGTTAAAGACAAGGAAAAAAACCCACAAAAAACAAAAACAAAAACAAAACAACATAAAGAGAAAGAGAATCGCTGGGGGATATAAGTATACTACATTAGATAAGGTAAAATTTCACTTTAAGTAAGGAGTCAGTAAATTTCTTCTGTAAAGGGCCAGATAATAAATATTTTAGGTTCTGAGGGTCATAGGTTTCTGTCACAACTACTTATTGCTGTAACTGTAGCACGAAAGTAGTCACGGATGATACATAAGTGAAGTAACATGGCTGTGTTCCAATTACACTTTATTTACAAAACAGATAGTAGGCTGGGCTTGATCCATGTGTACTAGCTTGCTAACCCCTTAATTTCTCTTAATTTCTCATTTTTACCCCATAAGAAACACCAGCCATTAGTAAAACTTTTCTATAACCTTTTCTATTAAAAGAGATATACTGATTGAAATTCTGATAATGCACAAATTATATATTATTGAATAACAGAGAATTGGCTATATTACACAAATAACCTAAACGTTTTTGGCAAATAGGAATTTTTTCTAATGTTCTGAATATCTGTTCTTATTAAAGAAGCCAAAATCATGGCTTCTCTGCCAATTCTCTGCCCTGATCCTGTGCTATGTGGCAGACATCTGGATGACTCCATGCACAGTGTCACCACAACAGTGAGATTCAATGTATGATTGGAGGACTGATGCCAGTATGTGAGCACTTTATTACCGGTGAATGATGAAGTAACTGCCAGAGTGAGAATAGTGTTTGCAAATATTTATAATAACTTGACATAGGTACAAAAGACTAGAAATGAAAAAAATAAATATATATAAAAAGAACAACACTTGGTCCTTCATCACAGTTTATAATATACTGCTCTAAGCTCCATGAGGCAAGGAGGGATTACTTCTATTTGATAAAAGTGAAGGCAAAGGTCAGGATTGTTCACAATATTCTCTAGCTATTAAGAAGTAGCATGTGGATTTGTCTTCCGATTTGAAGCATAAGGATCATTTCAAAGTTATCAAAGATGCCAGTAAGCTGTTCTGTTCCTCAGTCACAGATTAAAGCTTTGATACCAGTATTTTTACAACAGACGTGGTTAGACAGAAACTGAAAGTCAATGTGAATTCCCAGCATAATTCCAGTGCATCTGCTGGATAACGCAGCCATGTCTTTCTGATGCTCTGTCCATCATCGCAGTTTACAGAGATAGCGGTCCCAGCTCTTCCCACACTAGGTAGGAAATACAATATGGGGAGCATGATACAGTGAAAAGAGCAGTGGATAAAGGGCTATTTGGAGTCTACCAATCTCACCACCAGTAAACTGGGTGACAGTGGGAAAAATGATTCAATATAACTGGGTCTCAACCTTATCTATAAAACAGGCTTCATTACGATGATCTCTAGAGTCCCTTTCAGATCTATAATTCTGATAGCATCAATGCTGCAGTATTCAAAGAACTTCTCTAGGAAGACAGAGGATGAAGCTCAGTAAGAATAAATGCTCAATATGGGTCTGCTGAATTGCTGTAAATTGACAAGAACAGGGTCTTGATGGACGAATGGGTAAGGCATGGAGTGGTGGAGAGGATCTGTTAGGGCGTAGGAGGGGGCGGTGTGAACTAGCACGCATGCAGGAAGAGCCATGTGGTAATCAGAGCAGAAAACGTGTCTCCAAGAGTGTGGGAAAGAGCATGGCATGCACAGCGTGACCAGACTGTGAACTTTCTGACTCCTGGCTAGTTACCCACAGAACAGTTTCACCTTAACACGAAATCAAAATGAGAACAATACGACACCTCCATATCGTGACTTTAAGGAAACTCCCAAGCCCTTACCTAACAGGCATAATGTGTGCAAGCCATTTTGTCTGTTCTTCTTCACTTTGTCAAAGAAGCTTTCTGGTCTCCAAGTGTCTGTCCAAAAAACAATAGACACCGTCTCTCCAAACTTATACAACTAGAAAAAATAAAAATGTTAATTAATGATGGAACAATTCACTGACTACTATTTCAGAGATAACAACCAAAATAAAAAGCGAGAGCAGACCTGAGGTGGGTTGGGGATCAAATCTGTCACAAAAAAGGCAATAAAAGTTCTCTGGCCCACAGCAGCTGGTGTCTTCCTGAGGCCCTTTCAGTAGTAGGCTTCTAGTATTTTCTGCATTTAGTACAGGAACATACGTCACCAGTTCATGATTTAGCTATGTAGCCTAAAATACTAAAATACAAAGAACACAGTAGGAAGCTAAAAAAAAAAAGACTGCTGCACAGTCAGATCAGGGTTCACAAGGTTAACATATTACTATCTTTACTTAACGGATGAAACCACCAAAGCTCAGAAACATCAACTGACTTGAGGTCACACAGCTAGTTAGTAATGAAAAAGAAACTCGAACCGAGGTCTGAGTTCCACGTGTCAGTTACACTCTCATAGGGTGGTATACTTCGGCCATTTCTCAAAACCTCCCCCTTACTCTGCCCACTTTTTGTTCCCTCACTATAGAGTTCAAGGATAAGGGCCTTTCCTCTAGCCTCCTCCTTTTCCCCTAAGTGGCCTCCTGCCCCACTTGACCATCACGCAACCAAGAAGCTTGCCTGGTTCCAGTTTGCTTCCAGGCTGGCTGTACAGTTCATTTAAATGAGTCCAACTCCAAATCTTATGCCGAGAAAATCTAGTTTTGAATTCTGGTTCTACAACTTGTTAGCTGTGTGACATAACTATTTCTAAGTCTATCTTTACAATAGGAATAGTGACAAAATACTGTCCTGCCTACTCATAGGGTTGTGAGGATCAAACAACATGCAAAAAGCTATTCAAACTGTGGAATAATATGCTAATATTAGTTCTTACTAGACACTGTGCAAAGGACATTTATTTTCAGAGACTTAATATATGGTAAAACATACAACTAAAGTTGTTATGGAAAGATTTAATTATTCGATTTAAACAGTGTTTGAAAAAATTTCTAATAGAGCTGGAAATCACATCTTGTCCTAGGTCATAAATTAACTGTGACTGAAATAAATGTGTGACTTCAGGAAATCACTAATTTTGCTAAGCCTAAAGGTTCTTCATTTGAAAAATGAAGAAACTGGTCTGGAGAAGGGCTTGTCATCTTAGGCTTCTCACTGTTTTCAAAAGCTGCTGTAAGAGGTAAGGGGGAGGCAGGTAGGAAGGAAACAGAAGCTGGGGTTTCAGGGTCTTCTATCCCTTTATCTCTAGAGAAATTCAACTTTTCTCAAGTTTTATATATTGAGGTCTTAAAAACTAAACCGACACTTGTAACAGTGACTGTGAGCTCCCAAGGTGAGGTTCATGTTCCTCATATGGCCACACCTCCAATTTACCTACCAATGGGCTTTATTCCCCAAGTCCATTTGAGAACTCTCTAAAAAGGTATTTCCCTATAGAGGTTATTCTATCTAGTGGCAGTCGAATTCAGAGATCAGTGTAGAAAAACCTTGTAACTCTAAGAATTCAGAGTCACAAATCTTCCTGCTACTGTAACAAGGTTTCTTCATGAAAAAAAAAAAAAAAATGGATTTAGCGTTCCAATGTGGAATTCCTAGAATATATTCACCCAAGCTACAAGGAATGGGCCTAGTCCTGCTGAGGCCCATTTATCTAATGAATATGTATTACAGGTCATCTACTATGTGCCAAGCATAATGCTATGCACAGCTGTGAAGTGAGAGGCAAAACAGAGCCCGGGCCCTCATGGAATATGCAGTCTTGCTTATTCTTCACACTCAGAAGAAGCTCTGGGGTCGTGGCCCTGGTTCTTACTAATTGGGACATCACACACAAGTCAAGTAATCTTCTTGACTTTCAGGAGGAGCTCTACTACAAAGTGGGTAAAATAATTATAAACCTAATAATGTTTAAGGATTAAATGACAAAGCCTGGATTGTGTTGTGCCTTGCACACAGTAAATACTGAATAAATGTTAGGGATCTGATGATATAACAATGATGTTTATAATGATGAGATAGAGATATTCTAAAATTCTGTGTCCTGCTATAATCCAACTGCTTTCTTTGTTGGAGTGGGCTCAAAAACATTACCAAATATTTGAAACTATGCTTATGATTTAATTCTGACGAGTTCAACTGTTTATATTCTAAAAAGTATTTTGGCATCTCTGATCAAATTTTGAAATAGAATTATTACTTTATCAGAAAAAAACTTTAAGGGAAAACCATTACAGAAAACTATATATGCAGCCACATATAAGTACTTTAAATGGATCTCTGATATTTTAACAGTCACAGTAATACAGTGATGAGATAAATTCTTCATTCAAAAAGAAAAAGATAGATCATTTAAAGGAGAGTTAGGATGCTAGTCACATATAAACACTAGCTGAACCATTCTGAGCAAAAGCCTCTCGGCATCGCCTAATTTGGGGGATTAAAGAAAACCTCACATAAGCACTGCTTTCTAGGACCCTGATTTATAGACTGTAACCATTCCCATGGCTGTGGTGCAAACTTCTTCAATGATTTCCGGAACATTATGCAAATAGTTCACCATTTAGATGTCAGTACCTCAAAGAACAGGACCAGTCCTTTGTGTCTGACAATCTAAGGACTTAGCAGTAAACTATAAAAAGAAACTAGAGCAAAATCATAACAGTGACGAGAACTGAGGTTGCAAAAGCCTGAGCACTGACTATCATATAAGTAATTCTTTGTGCTGTGATCATCACCACCCCCTCGACATTACTGATGCACATCGAAATTTATGACTACAAACAGAACTGTTTTCTAAAACCTGGTCAATACATTATTTTTTGGTCTTAACTTGGAGCAAGAGAAAGCAGTTTATCTAACTTGATATTGGATCATGTTTTATCTATTGAAGACAAAAACTCAACTCGAAATAATCCATATGATTACATATAAGGCACTATCTAGTTAGAGTGAGAAGATGCACAAGAAAAATATTAGGTAGTGAATAATTATCAAAAATGAGATACAGACTGTATGTATCACGAGTTAGGCATTTCCCCCAGTTATAGAGTACGTGAAGAGATAGGATATAACAGGGACCTTAAAGGATGGATAAGATTTAGATTTGGGAAGCTGCACATAGGGAAAGGATGAAATGGTGTGAACAAAGGTGGGAAATCGTGGGCAATATTTAGAAGGGCATTAAGCAGTTATCTAGAAATAGCTACTGCCTGACTTGCCTCTAACAAGTATCTCTAATTCCTGACAGCTTACCATATGCCAATTGCTGTCAATTCCAGCTCTATAATTTACCTAGAAATTGACTATTCATTTCTTTTCCCACTATCTTAGTTTGAGGGCTCAATATAACTTGCTGAATGATGTTAATAGTGTTCTAACTCATTTCATCGACACCAATAGTTCCTTCTTTTCAGTAGCACAGATGTTTTGTAAACTCTATTCTGTAATAGGCTTTAAGGCTTTTGTTATTTTATATTCAAATAAAAATATTTCGTGATTTTTAAGTTAAAAAATATTTTCTCTGCATATGGAAAAATTAGTAAATTTAACTTACTAAATTAAGAACTCTATTAAGCCACACATGTATTTTATATATATGTATATCCTAAATCAGATCAGTTAAATCTGTGAGGTAAAAAGAAAGCTGAGCTAAGAGAGTTGTCAAAACACACACTATAAAACCATATAATCAAGAATTACTAGTTTTCTATAAAGAATAATTGTCTTCGAGTTGTCTTTTAATCCTCATGTGCATTTTGCTCAACACTGATGTAACACCGATTTTTGCAACACTAAGATTATGAAAGTGGCCACACACGAGGTACATAAAGCTGAGTGACTATGTACCGCGTTCCCCAACCTTTTTGGCACTAGGAACAAGTGCCCCTATGAGAATCTAATGCCTGATGATATGAGGTGAAGCTTAGGCAGTGATGCTAGCACTGGGGGACCAGTACCGGTCCGTGGCTCGGGGCTTGGGGATCCCCGACTATGTAGACAGCAGACTACAAGATTTATATTCTCACATAAATTAGCAAATCCACATAAATTTTTAAATATTACCATTATTTAGCGGGTGGTCAAAAGTGACTGAAAGAATTAGAGAGTGACTGAAAGAATTAGAGAGTTTATTGAGTCATTCTAAGGTTACACAGCCATGTAGAGCTCTGACATCCTCATACCTAGTGTTGTGTTCTTTGTACTAGGTTAGTCTTTATCATTTCTACATTAGTCCCTGTACAACAATAAAACCGATTTAATGCTTTTGAAAAACAACAGTAAGAACTACTCTAAGGCCAACAATGTCAATTACCACAATGGGTGTTGTTTCATGAAAAAAAAAGTTAATTAACAATAAATAATAAATACTATACGAAGGAAGTATTTTAAAATTTTACTTGGCCTGTCAGATTCAGGTGAATGTACACTAAGTGTTGAATAAAAAAGACTAAAAGAAAATATACCAAACTGGTAATTTATGATTACCTCTAGGTGGTGGGACTATGGATGCTTTTATTTCCTTCTTTATACTTACTGTATTTTCTTAATTTTCTCTAAGTATATATGTCATTTATTATCAAGGAAAAATTATTTTTTATAATGGCTCCTCTAAAACAGAGAAAATGGTAAATGAAGGTGGTAATTCTAATTCTGCACAATTTGGCTGCTAAATGCTTAACTTGAAGAGTTCAGGAAAAGAAGGACTTTGTTCCATTTATCTTTTGTGTATTAAGTAAAGTCCTTGATTTTTCATTAGCAGTTATATCTAAAAACAGTCAACTTTACTGGCTCTAGACAAACAGATTTTTCTCTGATTAGAAAAAGCCTAGAAATACAAATAATACAGTGTTAGAAATATGTTACTTAGGAATTTCAATAACATTTTAAAGTATACATGTTTATAACTAATATGTGAATTGTGAGAAAAATACTAAAATTTACTCAATGAAAATTTGACTATCTGAGGTACTTGGTTAAGATAACCTATGTCTAAAGTTGGAAAACAGGCCAGCGTTTTAGCTCCCAAATCTGTGCAATATTAGAGTTTATCTAGTTCATAATTCTTTATACTTTTTCGTGCCAAATCTTTTTTCCAAATAAATTCTTAAATAGAGCATCAATAGAGTTAAAAATAATGACTGGAGGAGACTTACTCCATTCAACTTACTCCAACACAAAAATGTTCAGAAGAGGTTGAAAGTATACAAAAGACTTGAACTGGCAAGTTTTGTTTGTAAGTATGCATTTTATTAGAAGACCAATTTAAATGTAATCATTAAAAGTAAGTGGTAAATTCTGAAAGGCGAATTGTTTATACATTTTCTCTGGTTCTTCATAACCAAAGGCAATATTGCTAAGATGATTGGCCAGGACTAGTCAATTAAATTGGGCTACTCCTTCTAGGTAATACAGAAAATATAGACTCTTTAAAGCTACAGATATAGCATTTGATATTCAATGCTAATGTATCTTCTTGTTGTTAATTCGTTATTTTAAATTACGCATTCCAAGAAGACATATCAGAAAAACCTTATTTCATAGATTCTAAGATGTATACTTTTTTTCTATTATTATATCTGAAATAAGAATGCGTCTTAACAATCAATGAAGCCTTAAAAGCACTGTTGGCCATTAGCAGTCATGGTTGTCATGGATCACACTTGTGTGACCATCAGAACACAATATAAAACTTGGAAAATGAATGTCAACAGCTTGGAAAAACATCTTGGAAACGGTTAATGGAATGCCTTTTTAACTCTTCAGAACTAAGATTGTTGGGTTAAAAATAACTAATTTTACACATTAATGACTACAAAGTTGGATTAAAGCCTAGTATCATTGGCTTCTGACTCTTTAAAATATTTTTTAAGAGATGTTGCTTCACAATGTCCTGATGGCACAGAAAATGATACCGTATGGAAAAACATGGCCTCAGCAATGCAGAGTTAAGTTATTTGGAAGATTGTAAAAAGGTTTTAGGAATACTTAATCAATTTGATTAGACTATATTTCCTTTTTATGTATGTACCTATTCATTCAATATACCATTAAAATCTTTAGCTAAATTTCAGTGGGCTAGTCCAATGTGAGATGAAAGAAATCTAAGTTATAGAAAAACTTAGTATAAAAAATTTAATATTAAAAAATTAAGTACACACAAATGTAGTATAATAGTAATCTTATAATTCATGAAATATAATAAAATCTACTTGTAATATGTAGAAAAATAAAACATTTTTGCTAAATACCATTTAAAAGTCACTCTTTGTAGCATTACCTGTAAACCACAGCAGCCTACAGCATTCATTATGGAAGCATTGTGAATAACTCGGTAAGAGATTCCCAGCTTTGTTGCTCTCAGAATCAGATCACTGTGGGTTGTAGCCCTGTAGTGAGAAAATATCGAGTTGTATTAAAGTCACCTACACTGATGTTTTAAGACAGTAAAGTTATACTATTTCATGAGTTCGAGTCAAAGTGTTGAGGACACTGCTCAATTTCTGAGCTTTTTGGCAAGAAAAGCGAGTCTACACATGCTCTTCACAATGTTGAATTGCAGCTGCAACACTCTTAAAGTAACCTTGGCAGCTACAGAAAAAAGGGAAGTTTCACTTGCTCTGGTTAATATTTGCAGACACCTGAACTCTGGAGCAGCAATTTTCAAACAACTTTTTGGTTGTAGGGCCCCTTTAAACTCCTCAAATGACTGCTCTCGAGTTCTAAATTACAGCACAACTAGACCTACTTAATTTCTGCTCTGTTCTGAAGGTTTTGTTTTTGTATTTTGAAATACAACATGGTAGAACATACGGAACATTTTCATAGCCTGTTAATCTTTGTCTTTATACATGAGCGTTCTATCTGACATAATCTTAGTTGGATTTTCCATCCGTCTAGCAGTCATTTTATTTATAACTGTTGTCCTGGGTGTATGTGTGTGCATACTGTGCCTGTTGCCTTTCCTTTTCTGAGCTAAATCTAATTATTATAATTAGATAGACTGTAGTGGAGAGAGAATATATGTAAATATAAATACAGATACTGTGAAATATAACACATCAATTCAGAGCTGCATTATTAAAGAGGCCTTTTCTCCTCTTGATCAAAACTCCAAGCCCTACTGGGGAAAGCAACATTAGCATGTTTGAGAAACTCCGTACAAATAAGCATAACCTGAACTGGTCAATGCATACCAAGTAGGAAGATCAAGGGCTTTCACCCCATGAGGCAGTCAGAAACAGATTAACAAATGCCTGGCAGGGAAGCCTGTTTTTGATCACACTTATAACATAAATACTAGTATGAAAAACAACCAATAATTTGATTTAGAGTTAGCTTTTTAAAAAAAATAATATGCCAGTTGTAAAAAATGTTTTTAATATCACCTTCAACAGAATTTCTCTACTTCACACTGATTAAGGAAAACAGTTATCAGTGAGTTAAACAGATGAACAGAAAGAAAACTGGTTTAAAATGATCTCTCTCTTAATCACAAGTTCATTTAAAATGACCAGATGTGGATGTGGATGGTATACTATGAAGATTTAATGACCTGACAAAGTGATTTGATTTTTTGTGAAACTGACATGTGATTATAGAAGCCCCTCAGATTTCCACTATAAAAATTTGTGATAAAATTGGTATTTTATCATCACTATTACCTAGATTATATTGCTTCAGGAAAAAGAAAAACTGGTTTGAAACACAGGCTTAAACCATTAT